CATTTGTCAGGAAATAAATACTATTACAATATGCGCTTAAATTGCTTAAAATAACAGAAAGAGATTTTTTTACGACGCACATTTGTTTTTTAATTATCGTTAATTTCATGGCGAAATTCTTAAACGATTTTTTTAAATATTGAAGATTTTATAGGAGAGAAAAAGTATATATATCATTAATAAAAGAGCAAATTATTAGCAATGATTTTGGATCATTGTTACTTTTTTGGAAAGAATTTCTTTTCGCGAAATAGAAAAGCTAAATTTTTTTGTCAAATTCAGATATTATAATTTTGGATCTTTGTTATCTTTTAAAATTGTCAGAATTTAAAAATTAATAAGATTACCACCTACGATTGTTCGCGATTTTTTCTATCAATAACTCGTTTTCTTTTGCATTTGCGTCACGCGATTCGTTCATGGCGACCTTTGCGTTGCTCTTTCCGCGCAATCTTCCATCTATGGAGATCATTGTTGTAAAAGACAGGGTGTGCCACACCTCCGTCTTACCTTCAGAAGGTTAACAAGCTGTGCGCAACTCTTCGATAGTGTCACCTAGGCTAACAGTAAAGTCTATTGTGTCATTAAATTTCAGTAATGAAAAAATTCCAATTATTAAACATAATTCAAACATTTTTTAAAATTAAAAATAAGATATTTGAAACAATTAAAAAAATGATAAAAGAATAAAAGTGATGAAAATAAAAAATGAAAGAAAAAAAAGAGATATAAAGTATTTTATATTTATAAATTTAATGGTTTATAAACTCTCGCGATTTCAAAGATTCACGAATATAAAATTTCAGAGTCGAGAAAAGATCTCTCATTTCGAGGTCCTTTAGGCTCATTAACCCTCGAAGACGCGCTTATAAGTCATTACAACTATGCCGCTTTCCTTTCGCGATCGCGAGATCGAGGGATCGATCACGCGGTCAATTCGCCGCGTACAGTTGATTAGAAGCGGGATTAGGGCGGGTCGTAATCTAATTCGACGAGATTGGTGAAAGCCGCGGTGATGTTGCGACGGCGGTGACTTTAAACACCCCTTATAAGGTCGCTCTCATCATCGCGATCTTTAAGTACCCTGGACATGATGAGGCGCAGCCGTAATAACGCCCTTATATCGAGGTGCCCTACAAACCAAGCGAACCCTCCTCCCCTCGATCCCCTTTTCTACAACGATCTAATGTGCGACCTACTTTACCTGATCTTTTAATTAAGTTATTTACTTGGAGACCAAATTTACTTTGTCAATTAAAAATAATTAAAATTAATAGAACAAATTGTGGTTATTAGTTTCAAACAAAATAATCGCTTTCAAATTTTATTTCAAATATTTCATGAAAAAGATCTACAGCTTTTAACTTTTAACTTTTAAATATATTTTGTATGCACAGCAATTAAAAACAGTATAGAATAAATTGCAAAGTTTCTTCAAAGGTAAAATTTTACAATTTATAATTTATTTATAATTTCCGGGAGGAAAAAGTTTACGAGAAGAGAGTCTTTAATTTTTTCCTTTCAAAGTCTTTCTTACTTTTAATTAGAATAGTAAAACATGAAAGGAGGCGAGATATGATCGACACGGTAAAATCATTGAAATTAGATATCTAGCTATAATTACAACATTATGCTGTTTTATTTAACGAATAACGAGCATTAATTCTTTATAATTCTTCCCCCTTCTCTTTCTGATGAATTGTCTATAATTGCATAAGATATAACAAATATAGTATCATTTATATTGATTTTGTCATTGTGATTCATAGCTAAAAATGGAACGATACCGTTCGATAGTCTGATTAATAAATAACTAATTCATCATCATCATTGCAATACCTGACGATGTGTTTTCTAATATAATTTGCCGCTTGCGTCGTCGTTTGAGTATCAGTGTCAGCGGAAGAATAGTCTCAATTATGTTACACATACGTGACTAATTACGCAAATTGGACGAATCGGCGGGGATCGGTGAGGGAAGCGACCGCGACTGCGAAGTCACGCGAGATTTCCAATTTTTTAACGATACTCTTTGAATTTTTTCCTATTCTTTAAATGCTCTCAATTCTTGTCCAAGCGAATCTCTCGAAGTATAAACTTGAACTCTCTAAAATTCTCCAGAGTGAAATCTTATAACCCTTTTAGATTCATTCTAAAGAATTTAGAGAGAACACAAATCCCTCGCAAAATTCTATGATTTTTAATTGCACGAAAATGGGCATATGTTATTTTTAATAATACATACAACGTGACTCTCTCCGGAGAAAGAGATAAGTTAAAAAAAAATCTGCAATTGAAATCAGGTCGTTGATAAGAATCGAATCCGTCGCATCTTTTAAGTGCACCTCTCGTAAACCTCACTTTTACGCAACGGCTGTGCAATTAATTATCCCGATAACGAATCGTCGACAGAGGGGCCGATAAAATTATCGACATATTATTAGTGAGGTGAATTTATTCGCTACTTGCTCGATACATCGCGAGCACAGCCGCGATGAGGTCGTGTGCATGCGCATACGCGATGAGCACGCACGTAACGCAATATCGACGCAACGTGTAATTACCAGGCGAACCTCTCGCGATAGCCCGAGGGGACTCTTCGGAAACTCTGACCTCCATGATGCTGTTACGGGGTCGCGGACCCTCGGAAAATATAGCACGCGTCTACAGAGTGTTCGCAGGGATTTTCGCACGTCTCTCGGTCGTCGCACTTGCCGAAATGAGTATATTATATCGTGACTCAATCATGAGTAAAACGTTATCGCAGCTTTCGAGGTCGTAGCCGAAAGAATCGCGTTGTTATTACGTTATTAAGATTAGTAACCTGTTAATTAATTACTTCACTAACTGTTTATTATTTTTTTCGAAGAAAAAAATTTTTGGTAGGTTTAGTACTGACAACGTGCAGTGAATATCATGATGTATGAGTATTGGGTATGAGTATTAACAATGTAATAAAGAGTCATTTTATTTTAATATCTACGGATTAACTTTTCACGGACGATTTTTTCAAGAAGCTTCGATGATTCAGAGACTATTAATATTTTACGAAAATGACGAAGTGCATAAATTGTTTCAATGAACAATTATCTTAGTTTTATTGTTCTATAATTATACTAAAGTAATTTAATCGTCAGTTTTACGATGTTTACAATTTTGCGATGTAAATCAATAGTAATTTATATTTTAAATCTTCATTTAATAATTTTATTAATAAACATATATAATTATTCAGTTTTATAAAAAGTTTTATAAATCAACATATTTTTTCCACAAAAAAGTGTGATTTTGAAGATTTAGTATACACTCTATTGAAACTCTGGAAATTATTTTTATATACATCTTCACACTCTTGATTAAAGAAATAAAAAACGGAATTCGTATTCAATGTTGTTTGGAAAAACAACTTATACGTTAAAGCAATGAATTTTAACAGTAATATTCAGACTTATTGGTAAGTAGAGTGGGCATTTGCCTGAATAACAAAGGGTTCGTATAATATTAATATTACAATATTAGTAAAATAGTGTATATACAATATAAATAGTGTATATCAACAATGTTATAATATTCTAATATTATAATATTGATATTTCAATAAAAATGCTTTCGTGGAAGATCTTATTTTGCGAATAAAATAGGCAAAAAAGAACGGAAAGCAAACGCGATTCTTACGGCCGTCGATTCTGCGCATATAGCACTCAATAGAATGTTCAATATGATCGAAAATAATATCGTCGCGGTTGGTTTCTTTTTCAGCTGGGCTTTTTCGCGAGAGAAGAGAGAATTAGAAAAAAAGGAGTACCAATGAGAGAGAATAGCACTTACGCATCTCGTTACGTTTGCTTCGCTCTAAACCGCTCGTTGAGTATGTACCTAAATCACAGCTCATGCTACTAATTACTTATTAAACGGTCTTCCTCTCGATACTCTGCACTTATCGCTCTAAGTTACTGCCTAATCTACTCTCTGTGTACACGGGACGTTTCAAAACTACCAGATGTCTTTTTCATTAACCTTTCGTTCGATTTGGAATTGATTTTTCTTTAATGAAAATGTCGAAACATCTCATTTAATTTCAATTGAACTTTATTTTAATACAATATCTATTTGTAGAACTACAAAATTATGTAATGTAGAATTGATAGGATAAATAATGATCTTGTCCAACACACATTTGGAAAAGTTTCATTAAAGGAAAATTATTTTTCCATTATCAAAGAAATTTCGATTAAGAGGATCCGGTAATTGTGGAACATCATGTATACATAATTATATATATATATATAAAATTTATTTTATAAAACATTTTCAACGTTAATATCTCGTGGCTATTAAATATAATATATCGTCAATTAGCCTATAAACATTCATCATGTTGTCCTCATTGTCGTCGCCGTTGTCATTGTCTCTGTCGTTAACGGTAATTGAATGATCGTAGGAACAATAATTTCACGGGTGTCATGTTAGTATAAGGGGAGTGGTTAGCTCCTCTTGGCTGTTCATAATTAATTAATAATTAATACAAAAACCCAGCGACGGAACTGTCACCGTTAGAATAGATAATCTCGCAAAGTTTGAAGTTCTTAATTAACTTTTTAATTAACAACTCTTCGGTCACATAGTTTCGCTATGCAAAACTCAATTAATTCCCGTTAACGTACAGGGTGTCACAGAACACAATCCTATTTTTCTATAAATCATAAATTATTTTTCACAACATTATTTTAACGATTCAAATTTAATCGGATTTGAAGATCAAGTTAATTCAAGAACTAATTCAAGTAACTGAATGAATTTTAATTAAATCAACTTGAAAAATTCGAAAAATTAGGAGAAAATAGCAATTTTTAGGCCAATGAATAATTTAATCAGGTTATAACCAATTGAATACAATTCAAGTTCAATTTAAATAGTTCAAGAGTTAGATTTACTTCAATTCATATACTTTATCAAATAATTGTTGTAAAGATTTATTTTTAAAAGTCCATTTTGTTTCTGGACACCCCATATACGATACGTCTATCTAATGCGCTCGTCATGGTTCGCTCTTTCTCGCAAGCTCGGCTCGGCGTTTCCATGGAAAGAAAATTGTGCTCATAAAAAATGAAGAACGAGAAGAAAGCGGAGACCAGCTTGAGCCGCCATCTTTTTCGAGAAAAATAAAAAAGAAAATGTGGACGACGTGTGTCCGCGCCTGGCGTCGTGCCGCGTCCGTGTCCTGCAAACTAACTGGGGGGACTACAGGCAGTTCCCGTTGGGTCTACAGCGATCTGGGTCCTGCTGGCGATGGCGGGAGACGCAGAAGTCGCATTAGCCTCCGCCGTCGGACTGGTGTTTCCGTTGTTTCCACCGCTTCCGGAAGTAGTTTGCTGAATATTGGCAGGCTTTTGAGTCACATGGGTTTGATAATGCTTAGCCAAATGGGCTTTCTGACGGAAACTCTTGCCGCAAAGATTACAGGCGAACGGCTTTTCGCCGGTGTGCGTCCGGATGTGTACGTTCACGCTGTACTTGTCCTTGAAGCCCTTGCTGCAGATGCTGCAATAGTGCAGGGAGCGTTCCTTGCGCTGAACACTACTAGGTGAACCACCGGAACCACCAGTCTGTTGCTGACTAGCGTTGCTGGTCTCCGTACCGGCATTGCCGTTACTGGCGCCATTGGCATTGTTGCTATTGCGATTGGCGCGTCTGACGTATTTTTTCGGTGGCTTGGAGGTGACTCCTGCGCGTCCAGAAGTCAGCTGCAGTTGACCCGAAGGTTGCTGCTGTTGTTGCTGATCCACATCGGTTCGTTGAGCAGATTGCTGTTGCAGAACGTCCTGCTGAGCAGCCGTAACTACTGTCACAGTGCTCACCTGGCCCAGATCGGCCGGTAACGTAATGGTACCCAGACTCCCACTTGCTGGATCTAATGTGTACATTACTGTAGTGGTCGCTGATACGTTACAAACCGGCTCGAGGCTGCAATACGATTCCACTACTTCATTCGCGATGCTCTTCAACTTCTCGTAATCACCCGGTCGATAGGTCGTCTGGTCCAGCTGTGACAGCAGCAAATCCTCATCGGTACAAGTCTGCATAGAATCCTCCTGTTGTTGCTGTTGTTGCTGTTGCTGCTGTTGTTGCTGATCGGACACCATTAAACCCGCGGTTCCCGAAACCGGCATCGAGATAGTGGACGCCTGCGAGGATGGTGAGGACGAGGAAACTGATTGGGATGGTCCTGTATATAATTTGCCTTGAAGAGCACTTCTCAAGAGACTTTCGGCAGAATCCCCGGCACCAACAGCGACCGCAGCCGCTGCTGCTGCTGCGACCTCTTGCAGATTCTGATCCGACAGCTTCCAGTCGTTATTGTTGTCGCCGGAACAATTAGCCGAGGATGCTCGTGCGCACAACTCTTTGCTCTCGACGAATCCGCTGTCATCGGTAGCGTATTGCGATGAGGGTACAGTAAAACCACGGCCATCTGGTCCATGAAACCTTTCATTGACGCTCCTGGGTACTTCGCCACTAGCTTGTTCGTGATCCTGCTCGCCGGAAGACGGCTCCATGCTCAGAATGGCGTCTAAGTCGAGGTTGGGTCGCAAAGACCAAGAGTCGCCGGACGCAGGTGCCGGACTCTTGCAGCAATCCAGCGCATCCATCGAGTTTGCCTCGTTGTTCAGCACCGTCAGAGTATAGATGGCACCGTCCGTGTTCTGTCGGTCGTTGGTGGTGCAACCCGCACGACCCGAACCGACGACTTGATGGTGATCGTTGGGACCGCCGGCCGCAGAATGAATGACACCGTCGTTGGTGTGCGCGTTTGAAGACCAACAGTACTTATTGAGGTCCTCCAATAGAATGTTACATGTCTGTTCCTTGCTCTCATCCTCCTGGCCCCAATAATCACATTCGGATTGATCCATGGCAGTGGTCTCGCTAGTTTGAACGTTTCCATGTTGTGAACGCACCTGGTGATGCACGTGATGATGCTGATGATGATGGCTCAACGAGCCGGTGATGGTCGAAACAGGCGGCAGTGCCGTCAATGTATTGTTATTGGTCTCCTTGATAAAGGGCGAACTGCCATGCGAGCCCTCATGATCGTCATGGGTCTGAAGGTAGCTGCCCATAGCGCGGCAGCCACTGGCACCGCGATGCAGGAAACTCTCCTCATCGGAGACGACGCCGTCGGCCGAGGCGCAGTGCGGCGGCGGCGACACCACGAAGTCGAAGAAGTCTGTCTTCGGCAGATCTTCGCCGCCACCTCCTGGGGCGAAAGCCTCCGTCAGGTCCATGGAAATGATATGGCGGCGCTCGTTGGACTCGTTATCGTCGGCACCTACAGCTCTACTTGATCTCGATAATTCGTTGAAGTCTGCTGGACGATGCCGACGTCGGTCTGAATTGGGTATCCTCATCAAACGCAGCGCCCTCGACTCCGCCCCATTCGCCACCGCATCCTCGAGTTCCACGGACTACCTGGAAGAAGGAAATGGTACAATTTTAACGCAATTCTCATGTCGAACTAGTTCGCTGATTCTTTTGCAAGAAGGGAAAACGCGTTCCCTTTATTAGAGTAAAAAGTTGTAGTTTTTAACATAGATATTCTAAATAAACATAGATTAATAATAAAGGCTATATGAGCCAATTTATAATATATTTGAAAATTAAACAGACGTTTCGACCTTTTGTCAGGCCATCTTTAGTGTTTACAAAATTTAGACAATTAAACGCAATAAAATAAGTTTCTGTAACTGTTCGATACACATAATTCTAAAATTATAATTACGCTAATATAAATGATGGTGATGATACTTCGTTCGTTTATGCTGTAGCAATATAATCCCTTCTTTCTTATAATTACAATTAGTAGTCCAAGTTAATGAAAAAACCAGTTGAAATATTAAGTCAGTCGAACAAAGAGTATAAACACATTCTGTCAATTAATACAATGGATTATAAATTATAAAACTAACAGTGGATGAATGATTATATTCACTGATTGTTCACATCTATAATCGTTAAGTCTTATTAAATATATTTATGTATATCTAATGAATTAAAATTGTAAGTATATTTCAGACGAGAAGGCATAGCAAAGATATAATAATTAAAATTCAATAATTAAAATGAATTCGAAGCAATATACAATCAGAGTCAAAATTTTTTGAAACCTGTTCAATATAGAAACTAACGACATTATGATGATATGTGATAAATGTTACACTTACGTGACTTTAAAGTAGTAATGTAAGTGGGGATGAGAATAGAAGGGGGATAGATATCTAGATAGGAACGAAGGAAGTAAGGAAGGAAGAAGGAAAATTAAGAAGGGAAAAGAGACTGCAAGATCTATAGATAAGAATTGGGTAATGATTCAGTATCATTTTTTATGTTCAGTCCTAATTTTTACCTTTTTATATGCACCATTTCAGAGATCAATCTTTTGTTGTAAGACGGCTCCCTATCCAAGATCTTTACATCTTCCCAATTAAAGTTATAATTGGTACGATGATCAGAAATTATGGACGGAAAACCAGTCTTTTTTTTAATGTCCGAAATGTGTTCCTTAATTCTTGTTTTCAATTTTTCTTTTAGTTTGTCCTACATAACTAGCTTTGCAGTCCTCAAAGGAAATTTTATAGACAACATTAAGAATCGCCATAGAATTCAATAGATCTTTTCCTGTGGTTATAAGGCCTTTCAAAGTATTCGGGATGGAATATGATAGTTTGCATTTTATTAGCGTAATTGTAATTTTAGATTATGTGTATCCAACCGTTACAGAAACTTATTTTATTGCGTTTAATTTTCTAAATTTTGTAAACACTGAAGATGGCCTGACAAAAGGTCGAAACGTCTGTTTAATATTCAAATATATCATAAATTGGCGCGTAGCCCTTATTATTAATTTATGTTTATTTATTATTATTGAGCCATTATAATATTATTACTATATAGATATTCTCCATGCTAAAAAAATTAGCTACAATCGTCATAAATTCATAATAAAAAAAAAACAGAATGAAAGAAAATTCAATTAAGTGTATAATATCGTATTTTTCCATCTAAAATTTAAACTATTTTAATTATTATAGTATTTATATCAAACAACAAAGACAAAAATTCATAAAAAGTTATAGAAGTCAATCTCTCTGATTGTTAAAGATTTCGAGAAATATATTACATTAATACCATCTAATTTCATACGTTCCGATTCCTGTTTGAGTCATCTTCAGCGTTACAACATTAATAAGCATAGCAATTAATAAATCGCAGTCATTGTCTTCATCTTCTCTCTTTTTGTATGCAACCGTTCGAACATTCGTGAGGAGTCAGGAGCAAGTTGTCCAACACAGTTACTAAGCTGAGTGGCGATAATAAACTCAGGCTAAAATTAATTTAAAAAACCGTTGGAAAATATTAAAGAAATAAAGGACAACAGAAATAAAAATTTGCCACCTCACGGAGTCAAACAAGTCACAACAAGAAAAAGGTACATTGTAAGAAGAAGAAAGAATAGCAAATAGTCATCACACGTTAAAATTCGAGATTAAAATTGGAACAAATCAAAATCTTGTCTTGACAATGTAACGCTCACTTCGATTATATAACGCTCGCATATAATCAGGGTTGGCAAACGTTACTTTTCAGTTACTTTGTCGTTACTTTTTATAGTAAACAATTTGATGACGATGTTGCAATTTTTTATGACGGTAACGTTAACTAACTAAACGCTAAGGTTATAACATACTAAGGTTAGAAAAGTCACTTTGAAAAGTAACTTGTCACTATTACACGTTACACTGAAAAAATTTTAAGTATAACGAGTAACAAATTAGGAGTTATTTTTTTCAGTAACGAATGACTTTTCTAATTCTGATGGTGGCATTACCATCATAAAAAATTCACAATGTCATTACCAAATCGTTATTATAACAAGGTAACGATCAACAAAGTATATATACAGGATGTATCTGAACTAACGTACACTAATCATACAGTGCTATTCCTAATAAAAAAACTGAGTCGAAAAGTCCTCTACCATTTTGCAATTTTTGCAAACAATTTTTATCTCTAGCAGTTTTTCTGTAAAGTTGTTGGTAGTATTTGAGTAAAAAATTATTGAAAACCAATATTCAGCGATTTTTTGTAATTAATATCTTGTTAACTATTGCGAAAATTGCAAAATGCTAAAGGACTTTTCGACTCAGTTTTTTATTAGGAATAGCACTGTATGATTAGTGTACGTTATTTTAGATACACCCTGTATACAGGGTGTTTCCAAATTAAATGGCAAAACTTCGGGAGCGTGTAGAGGAGTAAAAAACTAAGAAAAAAAGTCCTATAGACATATGCTC